TTTCCACAGGATCCTAAAGTACTTCTGTTAACACATGCCATTGATTCTAATGACACATTTACATTTCTGTTACCTAGGACAAGGGTTACATCTTAGTCATCTTTATATCTCACCCAAACACGGTGTCCAGGACACAATTGACAAGGATACATTAAATGTTTGTTAAAGCAATGAATAAATCTGTAAGCCATATATGAGAACTTTTCAAAAATAAGGAGAGAGATTATGTAAAGTAAAAAAAGAAAAAAATTTTGTTTTAACAAGTTTTGCTATTTTTATATTTTTAAAAAGGACACAAATGTAGTTCGAATTTTACAGTCCACAGAACATTTCTCAACCAAACTTTCCCAAATCAAGTTGGGGTGACTGAGTAAGAGCCTGTCAGTTTAGACAGGCCTTCAAAGTAGTTTCCTGGATTTAGTTCTCACAAATCATTATGCAGGGTTCATGTAGGAAAAAATAAATACAAGCCTGACAGGTATATGCCAAGTTATTATTGCATTCAATTGTGAACAGGAAAATAGCGAAGAATATTTACACGTGGGTCAGGAAGGAAGTCCACAGGATGGACTCAAGCTCTGCGTTCCCCCAATAAAGACAGAAAAGCCCCTGATGATTGAGTGCCTTAAGTTGGAAACTTGGCAATTTGGTGAAACTGAGGGAGCTAACGTTTAGACAATGAGATTTCATTCATGGGCAGGGGGATTTTCCTATATGGTAATGACATTTAAAGGGTCATAGACTCCCTTAAAAACATATTTCCCTCCCCTACACATAAAAATTCACTATTCCTGGTGATGAACTGATCCCCCACCCACCCCCGACCACTTCATACCATGAAGAATAAAATCTGATGGCAAAATTAACCCCCAGTGAGATCTGACTTCAAAATTCGTATTCTTTTCATTACATTAATAGGTGATCTTAGACAAATACTCACTTGCTCTAAACCTTACATTCCTCTGTAAAATGGTGTAGTAATAACTACCTTATACAAGTGTGGTTAAGAGTCAACAATTCCTCTCTCTAAGATGTTTAGTGTGTAATAATCACTGCACAAATAGCAACTTCTTCTTCTTCCTCAATTATCATTTGGGGAGTTGTAAGAGCTGGCAAAATTTGAGGGGAAAATGAAGCAAGGTGTCATTTTTTTCTCTTTTAATCTCACTTTGGTTTTTTCCTGCTCCCTGAGAGGTGAGAATCGTATTTATTAAAGTCCAGATATCCCAAGAACCACATGTTGGTTGTCCAGCCCAAGTCTCCAGGGAGAAAAAGGGACCAGGGACTGTCTGGTGTACACGTTTCCACCAAGCGGTCCCCGGTACGTAGCCCCGGGCCTGGCATTTTGTAGGTTCCAGATAAATATCTGAGCAAGGAAAGAGGGTAGGAATAGAAAGGGAAGGATAGAGGGTTGAGGTGAGGGGGAGAAAAGGAAGGAAGACTAAAAGTGTATGGAATTTTTTTTTCCTACCATGAAGTTCTAAGAACAGGGTCCTTGACAGGCACAGAATACAGGAAAGCATGGAGTCTTACACTTCTTCACTGCCTCCTTTCATGGAACAAGAAGAAATAGAAAGAGACAGACCAGGAAAAGATGTCCATTTCTGGAACATGTTGCTGGGCTACAAATGACGTTAGAAGATTGCGATACCATTTTCTTCTTCCATAGGAATGGTGATGGAGAAAATGTCATGAAGTTGAGTGGGGAGGACTATGTGATGGGAACACAGGGACATGAACTCGTCCTGTGTGTGGCCTCGGGCAAGGCACTTTATACACTGGAGCTGAGTTTTTGCATCTGTAAATGTCAGGCTTGATCCCAGATCAGTGGTGCTAAATCTTAGTTCTCCATTAGAACCACCCAAGGAGTTTCCAAACGTCCCCAGGCCCAAGCCATAGTCCAGACAGTAGAATCGCTTGAGGTGGGACCCAGGCAGCAGTAGTTTCAAAGCTTCCCAGATGATTCTAAGGGGCAGCTGAACTTGAGAACTACTGGACCAGGTGACCTCTAGACCCTCACTACCCTAAGTGGGTCTCAGACAAACTGCATGGACATTACTGGGTTCTTCTTAGTCATCAAAACTCAGGCCTCATTCCAGATCTACCCAGTCAGAATCTGCGTTTTAACAAGACCCCCGGGGAATTTGTATTGACGTCGAAGTTGGACAACTCTGGCCTAGACACTCTTCCACCCTGCCCTTTCATCCAACAGAGCTTTGCTTCTGGTGCTGATGTTTCAGTAGAACTTGTGGATCTCAGTGCCAGAACACACTGTAAGTGTTAGAAGTTTTATGTGTGTGTTATGCGTGTATATTCAGAAAGCACAACAGTATCCCATCACACCTGTTCCACGCAGGGGGCTAAATGGAAATAGATTGGGGGGAAAAAGTCTTCCTGTAAAAGGTGTAGATAATTTTAGGAGATTCTGATCAAAGATTGTTTTTGCTTTGTAGAATGGAGTACAGCCTGCTAAAGAGCAGTTCTCTTCAAAGTCAGCAACGTCAGTGTGGATATTAAAAACACCTGCCTTTACGTGGCAATGTGTATTCAACATCTTCTCGCCTGGCAACACATTTCCAGGTTCCTTGTCTGGTCCTGGTCCTCATGCTACCTGACAGGGCCTTTGTTGATAGTTCTCCCCAGGAAATAGGTGCATTGGCTGAGGAGTATTTGACTTCCTCTGGAAGTCTCCTGTTGTAATGTTCATCACTGCCTTTAATTCTACAGAAGAGAAGTCAGCCCTGAAAAACAAAAAGCAGAAACAACATCAAAATGCTAAAATGCAAGCTAGAAAGTGACAGGTAAATGTTATGCAAGGTTAAGCAGGTGGGATGGCCCCTGCATTTTAGGCTAGTCATGTTGTAGTAAGACTATCTGGAATAATGGTGTATTTGGAGGAGGGAGTGATTTGGATCTGAATGTTTAGGGAGAATTGGCAAAGGTAAAAACATAATTTTCACTTCAATTCAACTTCTAGACTTAAGGTAGCAGCCAATGTGGTACCCTGCCCATACTCCACCCCTCCCACCCTCCACATTACCATTCCAGTAGGACTTCAACAGTTGGCATCTGTAGGGCTAAGGGCTTTCTTTGGCTGTCAGCTCCCAACTCTGCCCTCAGCTCAGCTCGCAGAAGTCCTAGAATCAGGACCCTGGTAAAAGCTTCAGCAATGACTGAATGAAATGGTGTCTGAGTACCCCAGCTCCCTTGCCCGTTGGGTGAGATCACCTGGACATACACAATCTAGGCTGGCTCTGAGGCCGGATGTTCTAGTTGATACATGCCTGCTCGTGTTTTCCTTCCTTCAGGATCCACTCTCTCAGTCCCTTACCAGTGTTCAGTGCACCTCCAGACAAACTCCTTCCACTCAAATCCTTGCCCCAGGGTCTGCTTGTGGGAAGACCTACAGCAAGATGAATTTAATCTTGCATTTGCTTTAAGATATTTATAGGTATACAGCTCATACCTTTATATTCTTTCCTTTCAATTAAAAATTTTTCAGTTAGTAGAACTAGTTATGAAAAGTTCAACAGGTTTTGGTAATGGCCTAGGAGAGATCATCTTTTTACCTTATTCATGAGACTCATTTGACATCTGAAGTTACTAAGAAATAAAAAGATGAAAAAAGGGATCTCTATAACTGTCAGGGCCCAGGAGGAGATGGGCCCTGGTTTCCAATCCCAGTTCTACACTTGTTAGCTGTGTGACCTTGAGCAAGTCATTTAACATCTCTGCCTCTCCGTTTCTGGACACCTCAAACATGGGGGAACTGATCAGTTTCAGTAAGATGTGTGTAAAGTGTTAAGGATAATGCCTGTCACTATTAGCTATGAACAATCCATGGCTTAACTAGTTACTAACCAAGGATACTGAATCTGTTAGGATGTCTTCATCCATTAAACAGAAGATCCAGTGTAGCATTGCTTACACCAATTAGGACAGACATGATCTGCAGCAAGAGTCTGCCCCATCCCCACTTCTCATATTTCATTGGCTAGAATTAAGGCATATGCCCATTATATAACCATGAATCAAGCTTATAATCAAGACAACCTCCTCTTTCTCTGTATTCTTCCTTTTATATCAAACACCAGGTCATGAGTGTGTCAGAGAGCTATTGCTGTGTAACAGATGATCACAATAAGCCTTGGTAGCTTGGCTGGCATTGCTGACCTTGGTTGAGTTCATTCATGTATCTGTGGGTGGGCTTATAGATACTAGGCTTGCTTGAGGGTCTGCAAATTGACCAGCTAGCTCCTTTCTACCTTTTCCTCGTTCTCCTTGAGCCAGCAGGCTAGTTGGGGCATGGTCTTCTCATGGTCATGATGGATGTCAGGTGTCTTACAGCTTAGGCTTGGAAGTGGTCCTTATGCCATTAGTTAAAGCAAGTCACACAGCGAAGTCCAAAGCCAAAGTGTGGGGCGGTAGGCTCTGCCCACCATGAAGCCACAGGGTGTGAGTGCAGGGAGAAGGTGAAGGAAGGACCAGTCATTCATTCTATTATAAGTTGTCAGAACAAAGAACATCTAAATAACTTAGATGAATTCTCTGAGTCTTATAGCACTCTTGTGTCTGCCATTCATTTCTGCGCTGGTTACTATACTACAGTATCATCAGGTGCTCCCGTGTTAGCATGTAGCCCACTGCAGTTTGTGGAAGAAAACTCGGCAGCGTATGAAAACTTAGACCCAAATAAATTAGAAGTGTCATTCTGAACCAGCATCCTTGTTTCCTGCTTTGTCTTCCCAACTAAATTGTAAAAACCTGCAGCGCAGGAATCTCCGCTACCTGCCCCATGTCTGACATTGATGGCGAGGCGGGGTGACTCTGACCAGAGCGAAGGGAAGTGAGTCTGGGGGGAAGTTTCTTGGCAAACAGCGAGCGCGGAGGATGCGCGGGTGGTGCCGGAGGCGGGTCCCAGCCAGATGTGCACGGCCCGCCCCGCCCTCCCTCGCGCACCCGGCCCGCTTCCCCCGTAGAGGAACCACGGCGCGCCTCCCCGGGGCGCCCCCACCGCAGTGCCCGGCATCGCCTCCCTGCCTGCGAGGACCGAAGCCTGGGCAGAGCCGAGGCCCCGCGCTGCCGAGGACAGCGGAGGAGGCGGCCCCTCTGCGCCCCAGGTTCCGCGCCCGCACCCTCCCGAGGGGGCGCAGGAGGAGCGGGAGGCGGAGGGAGGCCCCAAGCGAAGATGCCGCCGCCTTGGGCCCTGGCGCTCCCGCTACTGCTTCCCTGGGTGGCAGGTGGAGTAGGGAACACAGCCAGGTGAGTGTCTGGCTGGCAATCGGCCCCAGGCTGAGCTCCCCCTTTTGGCCCCTTCTCTTTGTCCCCCGTTCCTCCAGGCACCCCCGGGGGTGTATGGGCATGTGTATCTGTGCGCGCTATGGGATTTAAAGGGGATGCCAGGCCCGGGGTGCCCACGGTCTTCCCTGCCTTCCCTTTGGGCTCTGGTGGGGCTTTGCACCGGTTCTCTGGCGTCAGCTGCGCCCCACCTGGCTGCGCCTTGCGGGTTGCGGAGGAGGGAGGCTCTGTGCGCCGACCCGCTGGTGTGTTCTCGCTTGGTGGTCTGCAGGCATCCCACTGTTCTTGGCGCGGGCGTGTGAGTGTCTGGTTGTGGGTGGGTGGGTGGGTTCTGTGCCTATGCTGTCCTGTGGTTTTCACTGTATCCAAAGCGCGAAGTGATTGTCAGTGACTAGTTCTGCTGGGGAAGGAAACTGAGAATGACACAAGTAATTGTTGACTGTGTTCACCGCGCTTGAACTGAGACCGCTGTGAAGGGGGCCCCTCAACTCAACAATGCCTTCCTGATTAAGGTTGATGAGCTGGAAAGAAAGGACGTGATTGTCAGATGAAATCGACTCATTCTTCTTGCCATGGCAATTCAGAATCTGAAGCCATTTCTTTACTGCCCATAAACTTTTCTAAGCCCTGCAACTTAATTTTCCAATCAGCAAAGCCAGTTAGTAAATACACACTTAAAAATAGTACACACTGTAGGCCAGGCACTGTCCTAAACACTTTAGGGCTATTAACCCATTGATAACTGCTCTGTGTGGAAGGTGCTATTATCATGCTTGTATTGTAGAAGAGAAAAATGAGGCACAGAGAGGTCAAGTAACTTGCCCAAGGAGACACAGCCACTGAGTGATAAAGCTGGCAATCAGACCCAAGCAGTCTGGCCTGGAGCCCCTGGTCTTCCCCACTGCACTCAGTGGAAAAGTTTCCTGGTTCTCTGGCTGTGATGTCTTGCTTTCTAAGGTGCCCTCTAGAGCAGGGTTTCTCTACTGAGGCACTGCTGATCTTTTGGGCTGGGCTGGACAGTTATTTCTGGGAGGTGATTGGAGAGCTGTCGTATACATTATAGGATCCTTAGCGGCATCCATAGCCTCCTACCCACTAGATACCAGTAGCAACCACTCCAAGTTGTGACAACTAAAAATGTGTTGAGACATTGCCCAGGGTGCGGGGGTGGGGTCGGGGATGCACAGTTGCCTCCAGCTGAGTGAGATCTGATGAGCTATTGCCAATTTTTAGTCGACAGTTCTGGGAGAGAGCCTTGGTTTGGGACAGGCTCCTTAAAGGTGAGCCTGACTATCTTTGACCTACCAGGAAAACACAAATCTTTCATCAGAGTCAGCGACAGTATTAAGGGATTTTGAAGTTCAAACAGAATAAACCTCAAATCAGGTTATTAGAATGTATGATCGTAAGTTTCAATTTCCTTTCCATCATTAAAATATAAGGAGATGCAATTTGCTCTTGATCACATCTCCTTGAACGTAGGAGGTTCTTGGATCGTTGGAAAGCCCCCTTAAGAAACACCAAGTGCTATTTGAAGATAAGATCACCAGTTCTTGTAGCAACCAGCAGACCGACCTCCAGGAGCCTGACTTTCAAAGGGCCTCCGAATTAAGTTAAAAGCTGAAAAGCCCCCAGATAAACCAAAGAACATTAAAATGGAGAATCCGCATCAGGATTCTGCAATTCCACAGTTTCCAAGATGTGATGCATGGTTTCTTTACGTGGTATCAGGTTCACAAGCTGCTTTGTTCATTATCTGTGCAACATGCTGGAAAACATCAAATGCCCAGCTCTTCAAGAACTGCTCAGGGACCACGTTCAATCAACCCCAGCCTCCAAGTTACAGACGGCACATTTACAGAAAAGGCAAAATGCTCATTGTACTAGAATGTGTCTACTGGTTATTTCCTGAAGTTTTACAACTTATAGGAAAAAGTGACTGCTACATAGGGATTTCTAATACAAGTGTCCATTGTTGTTGAACTTTTTAAAATTGAAACACTGCACCATAATTTCAGTGCTTCTTAAATGGTGATTAGTGCATAGTAGACAACACTCCAAATGAATAAATTCTTAGCAGCATGCAATTTTCTGATCATAAGCATCGGAATTTGGCTTAAACCTTTTTTCTTTTTTTGTATACTATTTTTTATTGAAGTATCATTGACTTACAATATTAGTTTCTGATGTACAACATAGTGATTTAATATTTTATAGATCATACCATACAAAGTTGCTATAAAATATCAACTATTCCCTGTGCTGAACCCTATGTTTTTTTCCTTTTTTTTTTAATTGAAGTATAGTCAGTTTACAAATTGTGTCAATTTCTGGTGTACAGTGTGATGTTTCAGTCAAACATATACATACGTATATTCGTTTTCATATTCTTTTTCATTATAAATTACTACAAGATATTGAATATAGTTCCCTGTGCTATACAGTAGAAACTTGTTTGATTTTTTAAAATATTTTTAAAAATTTTTCTTGTGGGAGAGGTAATTAAGTTTATTTATTCTTAGAGGAGGTGCTGGGGACTGACCCCAGGACCTCATGCATGCTAAGCATGTGCTCTACCACTGAGCTATACCCTCCCCTGAAACTTGTTTATCTATTTTATGTATAGTAGTTAGTATCTGCAAATCTTGAACTCCCAGTTTATCCCTTCCCATCCCCTCCACCCCCACCTTGTGACCATAAGTTTGTTTTCTATGTCTGTGAGTCTGTTTTGTAAATAAGTTCACTTGAGTCTTTTTTTTAGATTCTACATATAATTGATATCATACAGTATTTTCCTTTCTCTTTCTGGCTTACTTCGCTTACTTAATATGATGGTCTCCAGGCCCATCCATGTTGCAGCAAATGGCATTATTTTATTCTTTTTTATGGCCAAGTAGTATTCCTCTGTGTGTGTGTGTGTGTGTGTGTGTGTGTGTGTGTGTGTGTGTGTGTGTTTGTATCACAACTTCTTTATCCAGTCATCTGTCGATGGACATTTAGGATATTTCCATGTCTTGGCTGTTGTAAATGGTGCTGCTGTGAACATTGGAGTGCATGTATCTTTTTGAGTTAAGGTTCCCTCTGGATATATCAGGAGTGGGATTGCTGGATCATATAGTAAGTCTATTTTTAGTCTTTTGAGGAATCTCCATACTGTTTTCCATAATAGCTGCACCGAGCTGCATTCCCACCAGCAGTGTAGGAGGGTTCCCTTGTCTCCACACCCTCTCCAGAATTTATCGTTTATGGGCTTTTGAATGCTGGCCATTCTGACTGGTGTGAGGTGATACCTCATTAAAGTTTTGATTTGCATTTCTCTGATGATTAGTGATATTAGGCATTTTGATATTGAGCATTTTTCATGTGCCTGTTGGCCATTTGTATGTCTTCCTTGGAGAATTGCTTGTTTAGGTCTTCTGCCCATTTTTGGATTGGGTTGTTGTTGTTGTTATTAAGTTGTTTGTATATTCTTGAGATTAAGCCCTTGTCAGTTGCAGCATTTGCAAATATTTTTTCCCGTTGTATAGGTTGTCTTTTTGTTTTGTTTATAGTTTCCTTTGTTGTGCAAAAGCTTATAAGTTTAATTAGGTCCCATTTGTTTATTTTTGCTTTTGTTTCTATTGCCTGTGAGCCCTATACTTTTTATTGCCCTTTATGCAATGAGACTATTTAGATGCTCTAGACCTGCTTTGTCCAGTACAGTACATACAGCAGTCACTAGCCCCACGTGGCTGTTTGAATACTGTAAATGTGGCCAGTCCAAGTTGAGATGAGCTGGAAGTGTAAAATACACATTGGATTTTGAAGACTTTCTATGAAAAAAGTATGTAAAATATCTCACTAATCATTTAACATTGAATACATACTGAAATGATAATGTGGACATATGGCATTTGATAAAATAGATTACTAAAATTAGTTCCACTTGTTTCATTTGTGTTTTTTTAAAATGTGGCTACTTGAAAATTAAAAATGGCTTATATGGCTATTATATTTCTATTGGGCCATGTCGCTCTAGAACGTTTATTGATCTGAACTCCATCTCCAGTGTTCCAGGTCCTAAGACTGGCATCTTTTTGCCTTGGGGACATAAGATAAATATGTTATTAACTTTGCTGTTCTTGAGTTTGAAGTTTGGAACAACTCCCTACTTACTTTTGTGTTATACATTTTTTTCCTCTGTTGAATTCAAGTAGAAGTAACGTGAGAGATGAAGGGATGTCTGGGTTCTCATATTCATGGAGAGAGGCCTGCTTTCTGTAAACCACACCCAATGCTGAGAATTGATTCTTCTCAGAGCCCTGCGAAGGAAGTGCCATTGTAACAATTTCCCACAAACTTAGTGACTTAAAATAACATAAAGTTATTCTTCAAGAGTTCTGGAGGTCAGAAGTCCAAAATGAGTCTTACGGGACTAATACTAAAGTGTTGGCCGTGCTTGTTCCTTCTGCAGGCTCCGTGGGAGAATCCATTCCTTGTCTCTTACACTCCGAGAGGCGTCCAACAGTCCTTGGCTTGTGGCCACATCACTCCAATCCCTTGTTCCTTTGTCACTTTGCCTTTTTTCTGACAGTTAAGTCATCTTCGTCCACCTAAGAATGCTGTGATTATACCAGGCCCACCCAGATAATCCAGGATGACCTCCCTATTTTAAGATCCTTAATTTGAGCACATCTGCAAGTTCTCTTTTGCCATGTAAGGTAACATTTACAGGTTCCAGGGATTAGGACGTTGACATGTCCGGGGGCCACAATTCAGCCTTCCACAGGAAGTCTGAGCTGTGAGTCTGTTGTTCTCGGTTATATGGGCTGGATCTTAGTTTTAAACATGACTTTAGTGGTTTGTCAGTGGTTGGCATATCATTCATTTATTTATTCTTAAAACCAGAATTTGTGGGAATATACCGAAAACTTAAGAGCTGAATGTTTCTAGGAAATAATGACCATGCAGTGTTCGCTTGCAGC